AATATATTTACTGTAATAATACTCTACATTACAGTACATGATCATTTCTTATTGTTAATTTAAAAAAACAGTAAGTGAATTTTATAAATTTTCTTTTACAATAAATTTCCGTAGGAAGCGAAGCCTTAAAAAGTTGAACAAAAAAACAATGATTTTCATTAATAAATTTGTCGTAGTTATGTAGAAATTGGGCTTGGGTAATCCTTTATTTTAGTGCGTTTTATTATTTCTTGAAAATTAAAATTTTAAATTCATTTTTACCTTATGGAACTTCATTAAAGGTATTTTTAAAAGTAAAATAGCATCTTTTTGTTGGAATACAACAACAATTTAACACATTTTACGAAATCAAAAGACGTACATTTGCATGAATCTTTTGTCTTTCACTGCGCAATTGTGGTCAAATGAGGAGAACTCTTCTGTCCTTAAAGATACCTTATAAAAGTTGCCCAATTGGATGTATCTAGATTAAAATAAATATTGTGTATTCATTTTTTGTATAACTTTGACTATGCCTGGGTGTTCGATATTTATTTCCTAACAAGTAGTAAGTGGTGGGTTTAAGTTTTTTCACAATTAGGTCTCAGATATTTTAGGTACCGTATCTTTTATTATTGTGAAATAAAGATTTTGTTTCACTAATAATTGGATATTCACCAAATTTCTTTACAATAAAAAGAACGTTTATTTAATTTCTGCAAATTATTGTGTATTATTAACTATAAGTACCGGTATAAAATAGGTGCGCTATTTTCTTAATCCCCGGGCACCCTTTTGTTATTCGTCACACCGTGGAAGGATTGTTTATGAATAGACCAAGGTAGCGTGAAAATAAATACTTGTGACAATAAGAATATATTGTTGTACCATGGACCTTTGAAATACTGAAAACAATAACATGGTAGATAATGGTGGAAGACGTTTGTTGTTGGTGGACGATAGATGGATGATTGTGGATGATGGTGGATAACGGTGGATGACGGTGGATAATGGTAGATGACGGTTGATGTTGATGGATAATAGATTGATGACAAAGGAGGACTTTGGATGATGGTGGATGGAGTTGGATTATAGGTAGATGATGGTGGATGACTTTGGATGACCGTGGATGATGGTAGATGATTGTGGATGATGGTAGATGATGGTGGATGACGGTTGATGTTGGTGGATGACAGTGGATGATGGTGAATGACTTTGAATGACGGTAGATGACGTCGGAAGATGGTAGATGACGGTGGATGGCGGTGGATGATGGTAGATGATGGTGGATGATGGTTTGTGGATGATATATGGATGTTGGTGGATAAGTGACGGTGGATGACTAGAGGGCAGTGGATGATGGTAGATGACGGTGGATGGCGGTGGATTATGGTGGATGATGGTGGATGATGGTAGATGAGTGTGGATGATGGTGGATGATGGTGGATGATAGATGTATGACGGTGGATGATGGTGGATGACGATGGATGATGGTAGATGACGGTGGAGGATGGTAGATGATGGTGGATGGCGGTGGATGATGTTAGATGATGGTGGATGATGGTAGATGATGGTGGATGATGGCAGATGACGGTGGATGATGGTAGATGATGGTGGGTGATGGTTTGTGGATGATATATGGATGTTGGTGAATGAGTGACGGTGGATGACTTTGGATGATGGTGGATGATGATAGATGGTGGTGGATGACGATGGATGACTTTGAATGACGGTGGATGACTTAGGATGATGGTAAATAATGGTGGATGATCATGGATGACAGTGGATGATGGTCGATGACGGTGGGTGATGGTAGATGACGGTGGATGATAGTTGATGATGGTGGATTACTGTGGGTGACGAAGGATGACATTAGATGGTGACACATCATTATCCTAAGTAATCCACCATCACACCAGCTGTTCTGCCTGGAACTTCCACTAAGAAGCATTATCCAGTGGACCTTTCTATGCCACCAAAAACCCAGTGGCCTTGACGCCATGCTCCTCTGTGGTATTTCCTATGAAAATATTTTGATTCGCCAAGCTCAACCACCATGGGCACCCCATTATCGTCAAAGCCACCAATCTGAGTTGAGTGCTGGTTCAGATAAACCACTATGTCCTCTGGAATAAAATTAAACCAGTCAATCACAATGTTTTTGTTCTGTATTTGAGACTCGTGCCTTGTAACATCTTGAGGAGGATCAATGGCGAAACAGTATATGAGAATGACTAATTTAGATAATGGTAGATGGCTCCGAGTAAAAAATGAGCCATCTCGTATACATTTCCTCAAATCACAAGTCGAACACTTCCATATATGTTTGTCAATACATTGATTGTGGGTTGCAAGTTTACAAGCCACATTGTAATTGTTGCATTCCATTTTGTTCTTTAAAAGGGAGCGCCTTGCCAGAAATTCATTTGTTGTATTGACATTATTTGACATTATCACAAAGTGTGCGCATAAGCCAAATCTCAGTCCGAAGTGCTGCATCATTATACAATTTCCGTTGGATCAACAATTTGAAAACTATTTAATCTTGGTCGTCCGGCCATTTTCAACAAAGGGATCCCACTACCATGAATACCGCAAAATGGGTCCGTCCTATTATATATAATTATAATCACCAGCCCTCACTCTCATTTTACTTCAAATTAGTCAACTTGCTCATTCGCATACGAAAAAGAGGGAGGGTTGCTCAAAGAAGAGCTGACCAATCACGAACAACTTATTTGCTTACCGTCCGTGTGAGATGACCAGCAGTAAATGACCCCACGCTATGGACGATTTCCTCCATCCCCATTTCTCCGTCGCCACAAAAGTTCAAAACAAACTGGACGCATCATCACAAATTCGTGCCCCCCCCCCTTTCCAGATCCATTCCAGATAGTTTAGTCAACACCAGCTCCGCTTCCAACATCAGCTCCGCTTCCAACATCAGCTCCGCTTCCAACATCAGCTCCGCTTCCAACACCAGCTCCGCTTCCAACATCAGCTCCGCTTCGAGCTCCGAAAAATTAATAAAAGGAGGGGGATGATCACTGGCCACGCCATCAAATTTAACATGGCGGATCCCTTGCAGGTCTTAAAAAAATTTTGCGGATCCCAAATAAATGTATTACTGAAAAAATTACGTCATGCAACAAGAGGGAAGGGGGTCGAAATTCGCGATATTTTTGCGTAGGTAATATATGGATGGCCTCTTACAAGTTAAAAACTTAAATGTTGTATATATCACATTTTATGACGTTATATTGACTTTTTTTGTCGATACAAATTTAAACATATAAAGGCATTTAAAATGGAAGTGCTCTTACATGTAATGTAGTTTACGCTTAATGAGCATATATAAAATATTAGTGACTAATAAAAATTTACCAGGTCCCAAGTTTTTTTACCAGGTCCTGGGACGCCGCGGGACCTAGTGTAGTGTCGCCACTGGTGATGATTGAGAATGAGAGGTGTTGCTTGGTTTTATTGTCATTAATGTCAGTTAACTATGTTATTAACTGTGCATTTGAAATACACGTATCGGCAAGATAATAGATAGAAGAGTAGAAGAGTGGGGCAGAGGTTATAATTAATACTATTTCGTTTAAATTAAACGGGAATATTACGCATTTTCTTTTTTGTTAAATTAATGTATCCTATCATCATATCATTTATAGGGGTGTTTTTTTTTACTTTAATTTTTAATTTCAATGTAAATTAAAAGGCCGTAGAAGTTGTTGTTTTCCGAATTCTATCCCGGGCAACGCCGGGTATATTTGCTAGTTAAAAGAAAATATTTTTTAAACTCCGAAATATAGGGTCTTTTACCAGATGCAGCTCCACTCCAGCTCCGGCGGTTAGGAACCTTACTTCCAAGAATCTAGCTTCGCTTTGCAGCGCCGCTATTAATTCATCAACATCAGCCCTAATTAAACAAAGGTGTTACATCAACACCATGCGCTCGAGCTATGCCCCTCCGTTGCCTTGTCGATCGTGGCTTGGACATCGGCGGTCGCTCTCTGATGTTGGTAGAATTTTATTATGTCGAGACTCCATGCTTGGCGTCTTTTGCCTCTACCCGTATAGTTCGAGCTATGGGAGAGAGAGAGGGAAAACAAAGGGAGAGGGAGCGTACGTGATGCCAATCATCACGGTTTGAGTCTGGGGGGAAAGGGCGAGGAGAGTGGGCGTCAAACTCATTATCAGATTCATAAAAACACAACGTTGGAAATCCATTAGAACAGTGGTTCTCAATCTTCCTAATGCCACGACACTTTAATTCAGTTCCTCATGTTGTGGTGACACCCAACCATAAAATTACTACTTCATAAATACGTTTTTTTCTGATGGTAGTGGTGACCCCTGAGTTAGGGTCGTTCGACCCCAAAGGGTTCGCGACCCACATGTTGACATCAGCTGCATTTTAAACAAGAATAAACGCTTGAGGTTTGTCATATTCATTCTCATTGTTTTTTTAAATACCAAACCTTATTCCTGGTACAACTATTTATGTGAGTGTGTGTAGCGAGGGGGGGCGAAAAAAAAGGGGGGGGGCGGTCTGAGTGTACATCATTAGTTAATACCAAATGGCATGAAATAATTTTAACTCTCATCTCTTAGCCAAGANCCCCCCACCATGGCTTCAACGCCAAGGGGCTACCCGTATAGTTCGAGCGTTCCGTGAGAGAGGGGGAAAAAAGGGGGGGGGGGCATACGTGATGCCGATCGTCATGCTCTAAGGGAAAGGGGAAGATTACCCCCACCCTCCTGCTTTACGTCCACCATCCAAGCTATGACCTTTTAACCTTCATACTGGCACAGATCACATTAAATGGGCCTAGAGTGTATGGACACCATGATGGGGCGACGGCACCTTCAACGCTCAGAGACATTCCGGTCCCTACGCCTACACCACTGTGTAAGCAGATGCCCCTGAATATGGCATAATGATTGTCTTTTATTTTTACATTCCTTTAACCGTATGAATAATACTTTTGGTCTGAGACTAGAAAAAAAATCTGGCCACACTTCAGCGAAATGAACCAAAACAATAGTAGCCATGGATTGTCTTTGTAAATACATGGTTTATATTAAAATTTCACTTTAAAACCACTGCAAAATACATGAAAAAAAATCTGAAAACAATATATACATGTTAATGTAGCCACCGAAGTGTTTTAATGTAGTTCCATGAGGTAAAAATAAATTTTTAATTTTATTTGTATAGAAATAATAAAACGCACTAAGAATTTAGACATTACATCCGGTTCAAGACCCAAGACAAGCCACAATGGCTAATTTCTCAGTAGATCTACTTCTACTGCTTAAATTTTCAGTCCACGTTTCGCTTCCATTGTATCTCCGTTCTGGGTAAATTTCATTGCACTAGAAGATTGAAACAGGCAATAGTATAATTGTATTAATAGTAAATTTATTTTTAAAGAATGATTTTAATTTATTTAAATTTGAATCGAGTTTATCAGTCATAGTGATAGTTCGAACGAAATTAGGTTACGAAGAAATGGGCTATGTCATGGGTGGCTGGTGGGTAAATTCCGGTTATAGTATTCATTTCTACTTATTTTATAAACTATTACAAACTAAGAAGATTAGACCAAACCTAGAGTCTCAACTGGTTAGGCTTATAGTTTTTTAATGGTCTAGACTTAGACTGCAAGTCACATGGCAAATTGCCATAACTTTATAATAATAATGATTTTGATAGTCATAGTTTATAAACTAAATATTATAATGAATTGAATAGTTTTATAGTAAAGGGGGCCTATGCTATAATATGCCTAATCCTATTCCATACCAAAAAATATTATTATAAAATAAATAGTCTTGAGCCAAATTGTTAATAACTTTGATCGCTATGATCTGGGAAGTGACGAAAACCGGGTATCGTGATTTCGTTGTCAAAATGGTGACCTCCACTTGTTAATTTACCAAGGCCAAGGGTAATGTTGTTTAGGATTATTTTTGCTAAAGTTAGTTTTTTAATAAATTCTATTTCTGCCCTCAACTTAAAGCACACATGTTTCTTGTTCATTTCACACTTTCCTTTTAGAAAAATATTGATGGTTTGACTTTGAAAATTAATGGTAAATAGTAGCTAATTAGACTTATTCATAATTTTTGTGTGGAAAATATAAGTTTTAAAAAAAGAAAATACAAATGTTAGATGAAGGCATAGTTAACAACATATACAAAATTCGTGAGGTTAGGACCAGTGCCTAGGTGAGAAATTTTTGCACAAAATTTTTGTCACGTGTCCCAAAATAACCTATTATCGATAATGAACATTTTTGTAGTAAGTAGCTTGATTTACACTGGAAATTCAGTACCCACTAATAATATTTTAAAACAAAGCAACCATTTAATAGCACTAATTCCTTTTATCTGTTGCTTTTATTTTGAGTGCTGAAGTGGGATAAATAGCCCTATTCTTATTGTATTATGACAACTAATAGTATAAATAAATATATATATATATATATCCATCCATCCTATAAGCTTAGTATAGTGTAGCCTATTGTAGCCTATAGGTCTAGTACCATCCCAACTTATTATTGCAAGACCTATTAATAAACAATTAACAATTATAGTTAATGTTATTTTAGGCCATGTACTCATATTTTATTATTTAATGGAAATTATGATTCTTCAATTTTAAAAAAAAATGTTTAAAAAAAATATTCACTTACCTTTGTTATTGAAATATCCTGAATTCACTCACAAATCACAATATTCCACAAGAAACTTATATAATCCTCAGTATTCTTTAAGAAATAACACACTTTTGGATACAGTAATCCAAGAATTTCTTAAGCTTTTACTAAAGAACAATCATAAAGGCTTGTACTTACCTCAAGCAAATGACTAGAACTTATTTTAATTTCTATCAACAACCAAAGTTGATACGTGTTGTTTTGTGAAACAAGATTACAAATTTTTTGGTCATATTCTAATGGGACTAAAATACATACATAGAAAATGGTAAAATAAAAAGTATAATCGTCAATTTTATATAAATGAATCAAATAATCCCTGTATTATGTGTTTATACTGATAAATATTAAAGAATTCCACAGAAACTTTGAAATTAATATCTAAAGAATATTATTAGTATTATTAAATTAGGGAAATTTAAAAAATTTACATTTTAAAAAAAATAATTAATTAATACAAGTAAGTGACGAGTCAGCATATTTGATTCATTTTAATAACGAAGTGGTTATGCGTAGCCGACTGCATATAACCCTGAGAGTAACACGCAGCCGGCAAGTCACATGAGGTCTACATTCTTCCTGTATTACAGTATCGATCGATAAAGGTGTCTTTATCGGGGGGGGATGGTCGAATGGTATAAACTGAGCAAACCTCAAGTTAGTGGTCCTGAGTTCAATTCCAGCCAAAGGCCAGTCATGAATATGTGTTAGTTGTTATGTTTGTTCTTGAGAATGAAGCAAAAACAGCTAGGCTTATTTTTTTATTTTGTTTTGGCTAAAAAATGTTAAAACATGATAAGAATTATTAACTTGACCAATGTAATGTTAACGATGTTATTCTTATAATTATCAAATATTAATATATGTTTGTGTTGTTAACATATATTTGTGTTGTGAACTAATTTTGTGGCAGATGAAATCATGTTTCTCTGGTACAGTAATAAATATAATCAGGGGTGGAGAGTAGCAGTAAAAAATAGCTGTAAGGGCAGGGCGTTCTGCAGAGGGGGCACTTTAAGTAATGCATTCACACAGTTATAGTTTTGCATGGAAGCTGAAAACTGTTACATTTAGGTCACCAAAAAAAAAAAAAATCATAAATGATATAATTTTAAAAAAAAATAGAATGTATTTCCTGAATTAGTCAGTAAAACATAGTCATAGCAACATATAAAAAACCTAATCAATCAGAATACAGAACTAGACTTAGACCATGGAAATGCCTTTTAAAAAATCATCTACTTAGGCTTAGACTCTAAGAAATGTAGACTTTGACTTAGACTTATAATTATAATATATAAGATACAAGAAATAATACTAATAATATAACTAATATTAATACTATTACTATCATTCAATATTAATTAATTCAATTAAAATTTTACGTTAAACACATTCAAAGTTCTAGTTCAAAACAACCCGTCATGCAGCTCATTACGCATAATACTTTTTTTTTATTGCCAAAATAGCTTTAATAAACCTTATTTGGCTAAATTCCCAGCCGACTGCGTATAACCCTGAGAGTTATACGCAGTCGGCTGTGAATAACCCTCGGGGTATGCGCAGTTGACTGCGTATAACTCTCAGGGTTATAGGCAGCCGACTGCGTATAACGCTTCCCTTTTAATAAGGAAAATTATCAAGATTAAAAAAAATTTTTGCGGAATAATAACAAAAACTAAAATTTTATTTTGTGGCGTTATTTAGAAGAACGCATATTTTAACTGTGTTCCCTGAAAATATCATATTTTGTCTCATTTTATAACAAAGTTATAGGCATAGAAACAATACCAATATGAGGGTGACGAAATGTGGAGGAAAATCCCATAGTGAAAAAGGGGTTTTGAGGTCCTTACTAAAAAATTAATAACTTTTGAACCACTTGAGCTAGAAAGTTGATCTTGATATCTTGTAAACCATTATATGGGCTCTATACGGCTGTAGTATTTTTATATTTAAAAAAAAATTTGAAATTTTAATCAAAGTGCCTATAATAAGAATGAATTTGAATATGTTAAAATTAAAATATTTAACAACTTACTTTTCTTTTTCAATATTTTCAGGCTTAGAGCCTGTTTTAATAAAATGAGTCTACTTTATACAATAGTTATTTAAAAGTAGATATGACCTAGTTTTGTTATATGCCTAGCCTATATATGACATGTTTTAAAATGATTTTCATTTATTTGCAAACTTAGGTCAAAAGAGAGGAGAGACAGTGCCACTGTGGAGACAAAAAAGTTAACCCTACCAGCAAAAATACACGTCTCAACAAAGTGTTTTCTGTATTACACCGCACTGGGAATCTTTTAGACCTATTTGAGCTTCTTGGAAAATTTGATTTAATAATGAGTAAACATCTACATGTAAGCATTAGAATTAGAATATAGCTTGCTGTGAATGGCTTTTTAAAATCTAAACTCCACTCATTTATGATTCATCTAACATTCATATCAAAACAAAATACTAACCATTTAAGTTTGATTTTACCATTTAGTAAACAATTTAATCTTGAAATTTCAGTTTCTGCCTGTTCTGTTGACTAAGATATAGCATATGGATGGCAAATAGGATATTATGATGAGATTGAAACTTGCGTCAAGACCTATGGATATGAAGGTGAACCTTTGAGTTTGAGTTTTATTTCAATGGTAAGGCTATTTCATTTAATATTATAATAAATCATTTTTGTTTTTAGTCAGGTTGACATGGTTTTTACATTTAAATTCTCCAATTGAAGATTTTTTTTCCTTATTACATATCAAGACAATACTGTTTTAGCTCTGCGAGGAATAAATAAAGTGGATATATATTCTATCACTTATAACGGTAAACTTTACTTAAGCAATGAAGAATTAGTGGTTATTCTGGTAACTCTTGTTGTTAGAGTTATTCAGTACTTATGTTACTCTCATACAGATGACACTAATGAGTATAACTTGAATATCATAAACTTTAAACTTGCTCACTTTTATATCTAATGTAAGTATATTCACGGCATCCATCTTATAGCATTGTTAATGCATCTGGCTGCTTTAAATTTTATTAGACTTTCATTTTGTATTATTTTTGTAGACTCATTTGTCCTCTATATTTACAATATTTGAATCAAAACTATCACTAAAATCTTAAAAACTTTATTTTCATCCTAATGATTTCATCTCTACAATTCAACAGCAGTCCAGTTTAATATACAGCTTGATGAATGCCGGTACTCTTGAGTCTCAAGGGACACTCTACAAACTGATGTCAAGAAATGAAGAGATATGTCCATCTTGTTGACAAGAATTTATCAAGATTGTTTATAATGCAACAGTGGAATGAGGTAAGTCCCAGTATACAGTACAACTTGGAAATAACAGACCTTTAAATAGCTGTAATATTTAAGAAAATTCACTCAGGATTTACCTGGAGTATGCACAAATTTTACTCTAGTTTCAACAGCATGAGTTTTAATAGGTTTAATTGTGAATTGTTTACATGTAGAGATTATTCCATTTTGTAACTACTAGTTATTGAAAAGATTTTGTCCACTCTTTGGGCCACTGATCTATATGTAATTAAAATTGACATCATTTAGACTCTGGCGGTTTTATATTCTTATACTTACATGCCCTATTTTATGAACTGGTACCTGAAGTTGACAATTTTAGGGTTGCTTTACTTAGGTTGTTATACATTTCAACTTACTTTGTTTTAAATTACCAGTTCCTATTTTGACGACAAAGTGACCATGGATTTTTGTTAAAAAATTACTTATTATATGTTAAGGATATTTTACACATTCATTTGTCATTCTGATAGGGGAATGTCTTTAACTTTCAGAGTTCGCCTTCTAATTTAATTTCAGTATTTCTTCATAGAATTTTGTCTGGTTACTACCCCACTCCCAAAAAAAAAACTTTTGCAAAAATAAATAACTTTAAAAAAAAAAAAAATCAAATGCTTTCTTCTATGAAATAAGTAGTGGTAAAAAGTTTAAACACCTTTTATGTGACTTCACCTTTTAAGGTGATTGGGCTGGGCATGGACTAAATAATTTTGTTAAAACTGGAGTTTATAAGTCTTACTTGATGTATACAGTGAAACCTGGATTTAATGGACCTTTTAAATAGCACTGATCCTAGCATATGCAATAAATCACAAATTTAAAGTTTTGTTAACCTGCAAAAAGCATAAATTGTGCGAAAATTTCAACAGTATGCATAATCAATGGAATTTCATAAATTTTATTGTAAATTGTGTAGACATAGAAGTCATAATTCTATTTTGTAACTTTTAGCTCTTGATAAGATTTTGTCAATGCTTAGGGCCACTGATCTATATATGTTGTTAAAATTAGCATCATTTAGGCTTGGATTTTTCATATTTTATGCCATATCTTATTAACTGGTACCTGATATTGACAAAGTCTGGGCTCGCTTTCCTTAAATGTTTTAAATGTAAACTGTTTTTTTTATTTTAAGTTCCTGTTCTGATGCCAAAGTGAAATGGATTATTATCCAGATTGTTTATAATGCAATGATGGAATCTTATTCTAAAGGGTAAGAACAATATATTTTTATTTTGAAATATGACTTTTCTTAAGTATATAGTGATTCCTTACATGTAATGGCACTTAGAATATTTTAGAGGGGGTGGTGATATACTTTTTGTAATGTAGTGGAATGTTTTTAGTTTTTAGATCACCTTCTAACTTAGGTAATTCTCAATATATTTTTGACTTGTAACCCCTGGTATATACTACAGCAATTGTTTGTAACCTTATTGCTTGAATTATTTTTTTTTTAAATTGAAAGAATGTTTTCTTATTTAATATAGGTAGTGCTAGTATGCGAGGTCAGGTGACATAGAGTTTTAAAGTTACCTGGTGGGCAATGGACCACACTGCAATATACATTGTCTTTATGTATCTTTATGTAAACAGTCTAACCTGGATATAATGAACCTTGAAACCGCTCTGCTTGTGACATATGCACTAACTCACTATATACCAAAATATTTTAAAACTTTACTTAGCCTCCAAATAGCAACCATTTTGCTTTGTTACCTGTGTAATGCATTATTTACAGGATTCACTGTTAATAATTGTGTAGAGGTCTATATCATAATTCTTTGCAAAACTATAATTGCCTGGTATTGAAAAATTTTGGGAATAGGGCTACTGATCTAAATATGTTAGAAATTGAAGCTTCTTATTAATTTAAATTCCATATTTTATGAACTTGTACTTTATATAGCTTATTTAAGTTTATCTTCACTTAGTTTTTTAAATTTTCAACTTTAAAATATTATATATATTTCAATTTTCAGTTCCTGTTGTGATGATGATAAAGGCACATCAACTTATATGGGATCTTGCTATGTCAAGTTGAAGGGTTTGGCATTTATAAAAAAAGGTTTGGCTAATAACTTTTTTTCCATTGTGGTATAAAGCTCGTTGAGTAACTCCCATTTATCAATTCAGCTCATGTTTGTAGCTTACAAAAATAGTTGTTTTTTTACTTAGGAAACAATTTTGAGTTATAAATTATCACCTTTTTTGAATTCAATAATCATATTCCCAATGCAATAGCTTTCAATGTGGAATATTATGTAGGCTAATGCTCTAGTGCAGTGGTTCCCAAACATTTTGACTCCCAATCCCAGGGCACTTTTTATTATTACTTTCTTTTGTTTTATAAATTATTGGTGTTTAGTAGTATTAGTAGTAGGAGCAAAGTATTGGCAGCAACCCCTTCAACATGCTTTCAGAGCCTGCAAGCCTTAGAACAGCGGTTCTCAATCTGTAGGTTGCGACTGCTTTTGAGTTAGAGCAACCCTTGCACAGGGGTCGTCTAAGTCCATCGGGAAACACATATTTAAATTTATCAAGTTGCATTGAACATCATTTTAAAATTGGGGGTCACCACAGCACAATGTACTGTATTAAAGGGTCGCGTCATTAGGACGGTTGAGAACTACTGCCTTTAAAGGTTGTAAGCTATTACTCTAGGGAAATTTTAATAAATAAACTATTTTATTTATACATAAACATTACTCAGAACATCAATGTGGCCTGTTGTGTTATAATCTGTTTTTGTTTCTTTCTCTTTTAGTTTCATTTTCAAAACGCAGCTATGCCAGTATTGTTCGGACAAGTTGAGATAGCAGTATTATAAAGAAAAGTTGAGATGAGATGACAGTAGCCTTTGAGTAGATCATGCCAATTTTTGTGGACATACAGCGGTTGTTTAGGAAGTCTTTAATCCACCAATAAATTCTTCCATTGACACCTCGGCGCAGCATTTTCACTAGAAGGCCAAGTCTCCAAACCCTGTCGTAGGCTTGCTTAATGTCAAGGAAGACAGCCAATGCGCTTTCCCTAGCTTGGAAGCCATCTATAACATTTTGTGTGAGCCTTATGACTTGAAGTTATTGATATAGGCCTGAAACTATTGATGTGTTCTGGCTTCTTACCCTCTTTTAAAATGGGTGTGACAATGGCATGTTGCCAACTGATGGGGATCATTCCTTCTTCCCAACTTCTGTTTAGTATTTTAAGGACACAGCTTTTGGCATTGCTTCTGTGGTGATCTGACTTTTAATATATTAGTGAGGAGTATCTCTCGTATGAGATCTCCTCTTGGCTCTCTGTCTAGGGATATGTTATTTAAGCCAAATTACCACACAGACATAATAACCTATCTATTTACATATAGTATAGACTGAAACGAAGTCTTAGGTAAAGGAGAAATAACTATGAGTATTTATTGAATAATAATATTTACAAAATTCTTTACGCACTCCTGGTGCTTAACACATAAACATAAAACGGATTTTATCCGAATTAGAAATGTATATTAATGCAAAGCAAGTGTCCCTAACATACAAGCGGTATCATCATAAAAATGCTAAATTTGCTCAAGTTCTATGCTCAATATTGGTGGACTTATCCTTTATAGTTCTAGTGATGATCTCGGTGGATCACACAGTAAGGGAGTTCCTTCAGTTCTAGAAGCGTGTCCCTGTTCTGAGTTCTAGAAGCGTGTCCCTGTTCCGGCCTTCGGAGCAGTTCTCGGCGCAGCGAAGTCGGAGTTCCCGGTCGTAGATTCCGTGGAATGTCCCGCGACAAATCGTGGTAGTGAGAGTCCCTGAAACTCGAAGTCCTTTTGGTAGCTGGCAGGTAGTTTGGTGTAGGATGTAGCTCAATCCCCTAGCGCCAGCTCAAGGTAAGTCGGTCCAGTAATAGAAACCAGGCTAAAAGCAAAATGATACAAAAATGGATAAATATCCAAGCGAATAGCCATAAGCTGATAAGTCCCGTTCCACTAGCAACGAATTCAGATCGATGTATGGAAGGTGATATAGCTCGTGCATATACATCCAAATTGGGGATGGAATTATAAGTCTGATCATTGTCGGCGTAAGCAGATCTTGCTTCGCGACAATGTTGGACCAAGCAAACATTTCAATTAATAAAGTATGGGACATGGTAGCATTAACAATCATTAAAATTATAGGTACATGATAATGATATTCATATTGTCTTCTTTTTAAAAGAGACATGTGCACTTTAGAGCAACTCCTACCATTCCCGTGATGGAATGGCGGCGGGTCGTAGCACGCGGCAAAAGCAATAATCGAATTCATAATATCAATATAGATGAATATAGGCATTATTAAGCCATTCATGTCTAAGTTCACACTGTTTGACGGTGAAACCGCGAATGGCTCATTAAATCAGTCGAGGTTCCTTAGATGACACGATCCTACTTGGATAACTGTGGCAATTCTAGAGCTAATACATGCTTAATAATAATAATAATAATAATAAGTGGTCTTATATAGCGCGGTACCCCGGCCTAGGGCTGGGCTCACCACGCTGTACATATATAGCAAAGAGGCATAATCATAATATTAAAATAAAATACATAAATGAAATAAAAACAACATATAAGCAAAACAACACCATAGGTATATTCATCCACCCACACCAGAAATTTTTACAAGGAAACCCATGTACGTTTATCGGTTTATAGGAGGAGAATCAGTCAGAGTAGTATAGTTTAAATAGATGTGTTTTGAGTGCAGTTTTGAAGGCCTGTGTGGTTGTTATATTGCGGATGTGTAGTGGCAAAGAATTCCATTGTTTGGGGGCGCAGAAAGAGAAAGATCGTTCACCATATAATTTAGTGCGTGTCTTGGGAACGGACAGAATACGCGAGTCTGCGGAGGAGCGAAGTTGTCGAAGGGGTGAATAGACAGAAAGAAGTTCAGTTAGATAGGAAGGGCAGGAATCCGAGAAAAAGTTGTGACAGAGAAGAGACAGCTTGTAGTCAATGCGTGCCTGTATAGGGAGCCAATGTAGTGAGTGGAGTAGTGGAGTGACGTGATCGCGTTTTTTTGCCTTAAGAACAAGCCTAGCAGCAGAGTTTTGAACTTTCTGCAGTTTTTCTATAAAATGTTTCGGTGAACCTGACAGAAGTGAGTTGCAATAGTCAAGACGAGAGAGAACAAGAGCACAGACTAGAGTTTTTGTTGCGCTAACTGTCAGGTAGTGGCGGATGGAGCTGATCTGACGGATGGCGGTGTATGCCGAACGACAAATGTGAGAGATATGTTTATCGAGAGACATGTTGTTAGAAAGAATATAACCAAGATTCCTAGCAGAGGGTGTTAAATGCGGCCAACACATCGTCCACCGCCAGTAGCCGTGCCTCTGGTGATTTCATACCAAGTGCATTGGCCTAAGGCATCGTCCATTGCCATCACGCCTAGTCTCTGGTACTTCAACCAATATAAATGTGGCTAAAGCATTGTCCGTCGCCAGCAGCTGTGTCTCTGGCGCTAGCATAACTTATACATGCACCCAGCAAGTCCTCTATTGCCAGTTGCCTCTGGCACCATCACACATTTTGCATGAGTTAAAAGCATCGTCCATTGCCATGAGCGGTGCCAGCATACCTTTCAATTGAGTCTAATGCAAAGTCCATCGCCAGTAGTCGTGCCTCTGGTGCCAGCGTACCTTTCAAATGCGTTTAGCGCATCGTCCATTGGTAGTAGCCGTGCCTCTGGGGCCAGCATACATCTCTTTTGCATCTAACTCATAGTCCATCACCAGTAGCCGTGACTCTGGTGCCAGCATCCCTTTTAAATGCATCTAACGCATCGTCCACCGCCAGTAGCCGTGCCCCTGGTGTGTCATCATACCTTTTAAATGCATCTAACGCATCGTCCACCGCCAGTAGCCGTGACTCTGGTGTTAGCATACAAGTCCCATGGGACCCAAGCATCGTCCATTACCATGAGCCATGACTCTGGTGCCAACATTTCACTCATAGAATAAACGAATCGCCCAGTACCAGTAGCCGTGCCTCTGGTGCTAGTGTGCCTAGCATGTGACCCAACTCACTGTCCTTAACCAGTAGCCGTGGCTCTGGTGTTAGCATATAAATTCCATGGGACTATAGCATCGTCCGCTGTCATTAGCTGTGACTCTGGTGCCAGCTTACTATTGTTTAAGGAAAAAGGCATTTGCCTTGGTATTAACAAACTTTTGCCCTATATTTTCAGATAAATAAGAAGTGAAAGATAGATGGAGGCAAGCACCTCAACCCGTGCAACGGGTAAGAAGAGAAAGAGAAAAAGGGACTATAAGGCTATGAATGAGAGACATCGGGCCAAACGTCAAAAAGTCCAACACCCGCGTTTGACTGCGCTCACAGAGCAAGAAGGGTGGAATAAGAAATGGGCACGAGTGGTCAGATTTCACAAAGGTTCTAACGAACAAATGGTTTCCTCAGAAAGTGACATAACCCACAAGTCAATAAAGGCTGAAGCTGGCAGCCTAGTCATTCTAAAACTCAATGGCCTTTGGCCGAAAGAAGACTTATTAAAAGCTGAGAAAGTGGACGTGGCTCTGATACAAGAGAACTGCCTAAAGAAAAAATCCATAAGGATAGCTAACTACGTTACCCATACGTGCTCATGTGAAAAATGCCACGGACTAATAACTTTAGTCCAAGAATCACTGACCACTCGACAGATCGAGTCTAAGTGGAGAAAACCAAATACGGATGCAATCCACCTACAAGTGTGGAAGAACGGGGTATCGTACGATATTTATAACATCTACTCCCCTCCCAAAGAGATAGTAGACATGGAATTTAATAATTCTACATTTAATAGGACGATCATTGGCGGTGACTTCAATGGTCAAGCTACCCTTTGGGGGTATAAGCGAGTAAACAATACCTGCAAGAAACTGCTGGAACTCTGCAACTCGACGAATCTAAATATCTTGCAGAATAACATGTCTCCTCCACCATGCATCCATAGTGGTAATGGCAGAGAGTCACGTCCGGACCTCACCATAATCTCGAGTGACATAAGAAATAAGTCCAGGTTAAAAATCCTCAAGGATATAGGAAGTGATCACCTTCCTATCCTTATAACGATTGGCAGGGATATCGTAAACGTGAAAGGGCCTCGCCCAAACACTGGAAATAAAAGAGTGCGAACTGGCAGAAGTTCGAAAGAATGAAAAACACATACAACTTCCTCTCAAATGTCAGGAAAGGTTCCCTAGATACAATGTTTGAGAAATGGTGTGGTGGTGTACTCACTGCGGCTAGACGGTCAATCCATGTGGGGAGTAGTAGCCATAAAAAAGGGACCTACACAAACCCAGAGTTGTGTAAACTCATAAAAAAGAGACAATGTGAAAGAAAACGGGTACGAAGATCAGAGACAACTCTGCGAAATTACAACTCGCTGTCCAAAGAAATAAAGAGTCTGTCCACCAAGCTCAAAACAGAGACTTGGCCTAATAAGTGTAAAAATCTAGATCTAAAGAAAGACTCAAAGAAAGTCTGGAGCTTATTAAAGAACCTCACAGGAGCCGCCACTCCACAAAACCCAAGTCCAATTCGTTCTAAAAGTGGGAGACTAGCCACCTCCGACTTAGAGAGAGCACAAGTTTTGAAACAGCACTTCGCTGAATCAAATAAACAGAAAAAGTGGACCCACGATGGGAAGAATCTAGAAAGTGAGTGTTCCATTCTAGAAAAATCTCTAACACTAGATAAAAGCTCGATCATGGCAACCAAGCTGATCCGAAGGGAGTTTGAGATAGCCTTCAGAAAATGCAAAAATGATACAGCGGGTGGTCCAGATGGCATCACTTACAATATGCTGAACAGGCTCGGACCTAAGGCAAAAACAGCCCTGTTCAAGCTTATATCCCTCTCATGGGAAACAGGCAAAATTCCCAAACAATGGCAAGAAGCAAAACTAACGGCATTCTTGAAAAAGGGGAAGCCTCCCGACAGCCCTGGGAGTTACAGGCCAGTATCCTTGACATCTTGCGCTGGAAAAATTGCTGAACGCATAGTGAACAGAAGATTGTACTGGTTCATGGAAAGGAATAAACTGATAAATCATAACCAGTGTGGCTTTCGTAAGAATAGACAGGCGACGGACCAGATTATTAGACTCACTCAGAATAATAAATGGTTACCACAAAAAAGAGAGCACGATTGGAGTCTTCTTAGATCTGTCCCAGGCTTACGATAAGGTCTGGAAGACAGGGCTTAAGCTCAAAATGCTAAGGCTGGGCATCTCGGGCAAGATGTACTGGTGGATCTGTGACTTCTTAAAAAACAGATAAATCAAAACCAAATTTGGCAACCAAACATCTAGCAAAGCAAACCTAGAGGAGGGCCTCCCTCAAGGATCGGCACTGAGTTGCCTCCTTTTTCTGATTTATATCAATGACTAACCGGAAGTAGTGCAATCAAAAATTGCATTGTTCGCCGACGATATTGCCCTTTGGCGAACGGGTCCCAATATAGAAGAACTAGATACTGTCCTACAGACTGACATGAATAGGATTAAGTCATATTCCAAAAAGGAAGAAAATCGAACTGAATGTATTGAAGTCTACCTACACCCTCGTTACACTAAGCAGGGATGCTACGAAAATTCCTTTTCAGATCAGCTTCGGCAAGAGGCCACTGATCAAGTCCGAAAAAGCAAACTACCTAGGGTGCACGTTGGACCCTAAACTCCACCTTCATAGTCACATTGATGACATGGTAACGAGAGCTAATGAAAAGCTACAATGGTGAGGCTGTTGGCGGGCACAAACTGGGGTGCCTCGGCTAGCACATTAAGAGGCCTTTTCATTGGTGCAGTCCGGTCAGTACTAGACTACAGTATGCCTTTCTTAAACATCGCAAGTGACACGGCACTGCAATAACTCGATCTCATCCAAAACCATGGCACCAGGCTGATATGTGGGACCTTTAAAAGTTGCCCAATCTCTGCTGGTGAAATAATGGCCAACCTTGAACCGCTGAGTGTAAGACGGGACAAGGCAATGCTCATGGCACAAGAGAGATTTCTGAGATTGGATGTCTCTGACCCTTTCCATGAGGTAATGCTCGACCCACCAGGTACAAGGATAGGAAAAAAAATCCTTTTTAAGCCTCTGCACGGAGCTAAAAAAGAAAATCATAATCCCAGAAAAAAGGGGTAAGCTAAAATCAGTAACAAAACAGAGACCTGACAATATGGTGGTCTTCAACCTTCTCAAACAGCCCGAGTCTAACCCAGAAACCCTAATAAATAAGCCCATGAACATACATTGACATGAAATGAAAATGCTGGGTATGGGGTGCACATTCAGCTACCAGATGGGACAACCATTAACAAGTCAGGGGAGTGTAGACGTTTCTATACATCCCAGGAAGCCGAACTTAAAGCATTCAAGGTGGCACTAGAAATCCTTTACAATCTAGCCCCCACACTGACTTACAATTATCCAATAAAGATATACACGGATTGCCAAGGCCTCATCAAAGACCTAGAAGAGCAGGCAACCAAAGTCAAAATAGCCCAAGTTTACAAATTAATAGAAAAGCTGGATCCTGCAAGCAGGTGACGACTCTCAATAACTTGGATAAAAAGTCATACCAAATGTGATGCACACAACAAAGCAGATATGTTGGCGATGAATGGGTTAAAAAACCCAGGTCCAAACAAAAAAGTGTCGGGGGGCGAAATGAGGACATTACTCAAGGCACAATTCAAAAACGTGTGGCTCAAAGAATGGTCCGAGATCATTCATGGAAGGAGAGTATGGACCCACCTTAAGGGCCCGAGTCCCCAGGACCAATGGTGGTCCTTGAAACGAAGTGAGCAAATAATCATAGCCCAAGCCAGGACGGGCCATTGTCCAACAAAGGAACACCTGTACTCGCTCAATAGAAGTAGCAGTAGCCTTTGTAGATATTGCAAAATAGAAATTGAGAGCATTGATCATATTAATACATGTGCTTCGCTAGCAGGTAAAAGGAGAGAAATACTTGGCAATGAAGCCAGTAGACCTATCCTAAATAGGCCTCTAAATGATTTAAGAAAGAGTGCCAACTACCTAAAAGATGTCCTATAGGACGATTACAAGAAAAAAAAAAAAATAATAAAAAAAATTTTTTTTGCTGGGAAAAGCTGGTATAAAACTTAAAACTGATGGATAGAGAAGACCACTAAGCCGGAGCAAATTTTGAACAAGCGTCTGCCAAACACGTGGGGCAGCATCGCATCTAGTATCTAGGTAAACAACACAGCCCCGGGAGTAGCCAAGGGCTCAACGCTGAAAGGGGAAGGGGCCTTGGCCCCCAAACCAATCGGCGGGGAGTATTCTCCCTGCAACCAAGCAAACATAAGGTTGAGGCAGCAATGGTGACATTCGGACAAGCCCAAAAATTGTTCAAAGGTGGATCCCTTGCAATGGAGTAAGCGAATCCTGATAGTATGAATCTTGGAACCGGGTTGAGAATCGGCCAGAAGAGCAGAAATGCTCGGTGCTGCTGTGTCGGTCAAGTCCAGGTGCCAGCACCAAGACTCGAAATCAGAGTCAGTCAATGTGAGTGGAGGTTTAACGCAGGTTCGAATCCTGCCCCGGCAAATAAATATTCATTATTTATTAAAGTTGACGGCAGTGGGTTAAATGCCACCCGGTGACCCACTAAACCTAACCACACACGATTGCCTTTCCACTCATGTTGTGACCGCAACAAGTTGGTGTTTCTTTTTGATGTTTTGTAATTGCTGGTGTTTACATTATTTAAATATATTCCATATCCTCCTGAGTCCCGAGAGGCAAGTTAGAGTGAAATCAACTTGACACCTATTTTATTGTGCTATTAGTGATGCTAAAAAAGACATTGAAACAAAAAAATTTGATTTTGATATTTGATTTATTTGATGTGCAGTCCACTGGACATCGGGATCCAAATCATTTTTTGCCATACGTAAAAAAACAACAAACAATTGATTACAAAACTCAATCACAAATGTTGCAGGGTTGAACCTTTTGATTATTTCCATCAATGTTTTGATGAACAATTCTACACAGACACAGACTTTTCACCAATCTGCATACTGGTTCCGTTACAGCCGAAGAAATAAAAAATTTTCTTGGAATTAGCATGGAGATGTCTTGCCTGATGTATCCCTCAATACAAATGTACTGGACAACTTCAAATAGGGTGCCAAATATTGCAGAATCGATGGCTCCAACTAAACAGTGTTTACTATGGTCAAAAAAG